GAGTCCCATTCTATGACGAAACAGCTATGTAGCCCACCATGTTTTTAATGGTTGTTTAACAAGAATTAATACGTATTATGAACTACAGTATACATTTCTCTCCATAAACTCTTTACACTAACAAATAAGTATGCTAAACTTTTTTATTACCGTCTAAAACTCTAATGTTAGATGACTGAAAAAAAGACCAAAATGGATGTCGGGTGTTAATTATCAACTTTAGGATTAGGTGGAGAAAGCGAAGGGGTGGCCAGTTCATGAAGTGTCTCCGGAATAAGAATGAAAACTATGTAAAACTGGGATCAATCAGTTCACCACTATTTCCTATTTGGGGATCCAGAGATGATGCAGCTCATTGGTCTGATACTTTATCAGCCATGACTTAGAATATATTCCAGGAGTGAAATGAGCCCATTTGACTAATAGAATTCTTATTTGGTATTTTTATTTAAAACTGCATCTTCTCTTACTTGGCATTATTGTGGACTCGTTTTTCTTTACTGTACTGCTCTTCAATCCTTTATTTCTTCACAATATATATTCCCCTTATTTATTTGGTATATATGTTTTTGTTTCTAGTAATACCATGATTTGTGTATATCATATAGAATGAAGAATATTAAGGTATTGGCTTCATGCCTGTCAATAACTATCAACAAGATGGGTATGTTTAATATTAATCTTGAGAGCATTAATGTTCGCTGTTAAATTTAAAGTTGTTTTATACGACATACATATACTGAGCGAGATGCTAAGCGCTGTGCTTTTCAAAGCATAACTGATTTTTTTGTTGAACTGAAATGGTTATAGCAATAGTTGATCTTCTGACTAGTAGCAGAACCATATCATACTACAATTTAGTCAATGGGGTTTATAGAATTTTGTCAATCGATTTGCACAGTTAAAACTAGACTAAAGTAAACAACAAGTCAAACATCTAGATGTCATATTAAATAGCACTTATCAACATGGCATATATTAAATATTTTCCGGAGAAACTGATGTTTAACTACTCAGTGAAGTTAGATATTATCAGTATGGTGCAAATAATTGTTTATACATACAATGAGTGTGTTTTATTGAATTACTATAATTTATTTTTTGAAGATTGTTTTTGTGGGTAGCAATCATTAAAAAATTAATCTTAGTTGAGATACCATCAAGTACTGGGAAGCATAGGACAGTTGTTTAGGTTTAGCATGAAACTTCTTAAACGTGAGCACTCATAACAGTACCATGAAAAGGATATAGGACTTTCAGGTCTCGTAGTAAATGTCTAGCCATTCGAACCACTGGACCAGTGTAGCTAGTATGCATTGCTGAAGAGAGCAATGCTGTGACACAATAGCTATTCAGTGTTTCGTAGTTTTCAACAGTACCCTATCTGAGATTGATTCGTAATAAACGTTAGTTACGAATCGAAACTAGTCACCACAAAAAACCCTTCAAATGAACTGTTATTATTACTGTAAATATTAGGAGTAGTGTGGTGTTCATTAACAGTTTCGAAATATCTTAATACTATACGTTAGTAATTATATATGAAATTCGTCTAACTATAGACTTAAATTACAAAGATGCAACAACAAATCACGAAAAAAACACTAAACTAAATGTAAAAAGAAAAAATAAGCAATAGTCTAGTTGCTAATTTTTATGGCGGTTGGGAGATGTATTATGGTAAGCCCAACTATCTCGTAATTTGAAGTGAAATCTGTGCTAGTGTAGAAGTAGGTTGGAGGAAAAATAGACAGTCAAACAATAATGTGATATCAATTCATGAAGTAATTTGACATTTGACTGGTTATGTTAATAGATAAATACCATAACACTAAAATCCTTACGACTATCGTAATTATTACTGAGAATCATTCTCAATGAGGTGGGTGCATTCACTAATTATCTTTTCTCATATCTTGATATTTAAAATGATCTGATTTTTTATTTCTAAATCAAAATGTTTATATTCAAGTTTTTGACTGAGATCATGAACCGATTGATGTAAGACGACCATTTAAAACCTGGAAGCACTGGACGGCCATTTCGTCCTATTGTGGGACTTCTCAGCAGTGCTCATTCACGATCTCGCCTGCGGGATTCGAACCCAGGGCATTCAGTCTCGCGCGCGAACGCCTAATCTACTGGACCACTGAGCCCGCATCCAATGGTTTTAGTGCCTAGCTATCACTAATGTCGATATATATATATATATATTCAATTCCAAAATAGTTTGAATCACAAATTGTATTTAGTCAAACAATCATTGGCAATCTGAACTAGCATTTGTTAGATAACTATTTCATTCTTGTATTGGAACTACTCATCAAGGAGTACCTCTCGCCAAGAGTTAAACCTATTTGGTAAATAGGATCTAAGATTTTTGTACATTCTGTAAGTAACTGTCATTCAAAGCTAAGAAAGAAGAACCAGTAAAACAGTCAGGTTTTTAAACAGTTATTCCACTATCTATTTGCTGATATAATTAGTTTGGAAAAATATTAAATACTAGATTTAATCAAATAAGGATTGAGGCAGTTATTACCTGTTTGTATAGTTTAAAATACATGTAAAATAATTAAAGTTAAAAGTGAGAGCAAATTAGTCATTTAATTTTCGCCACAAAATTCAACATTTGAATATACTTTTTGTATCGGTCACCGTAGATAAGCTCTAGATTAATGAATAATTTGTTTCGAGAAGAAAAACTCGTCAAATCCTTGTTGAAAGCCGTAATTCAATAAAAACATTATTAAATATCACATAATTAAAATAGAAAATTATGAATTGTTTATACTACTTACAAGTTGAAAGTAAAATGCTTACAGCCAAACTGAAATGTATTAGTTTGGGTTATACTTAGGTTTCAGAGATCATGTCTTCTCATTGGTATAAATTGTTATATATTAAGGTAAATCAACTGTTGTCCAGGAGTGCTTTGTTTATCAATTAAAAAGATCAATTCATGATGAGAATAATGGTGAAATAATAAAGTTTTATTTAATGAGGCTAAAAACAGTCCACTAAAAAGTCACACATATGGACAGTTTTATAGGAATTCACCAGGAAAACGTATGGATAGTTTAAAGTACATATCAAATCACGCATTGATAGAAGACTTTAAACTTATTCTATTGCATATATAGTTTAGTTTGGATTATGATTAGCAGTCGATTCACTGTGACACATGTTTCTTCATATCTGGGACTAATCAGATGGAACACTCGTACATCCTAGTATTGGTCTGCATAGTGAGAATCGAACCCGGTACTCATAGTTTGAAATGTCGAGGGGGTTATCCACTAAGCTAATAAACACAAAAAATCAATGCTTTTTTAACACATGGTATGTAACAGCTTGCATGGATTTGTATTTTTCCACCGTTTCTAGTGTCAACAATGAGAAAATATAGGTCACGTACAAACGACAATCAATGTTTGGTTTCTGATGAATTATGTTTTTTTAGCTAATCTCAGTTGGAATATTTCAGAAGTTATTAACTCTGACAGAAAATTTCACTCTTAATGTATAAGTTTTCTTCAAAATAAATTAGGTTTGCAATATGTAGACGGGATCCGTTACACAATGATCTCAGTTTGGGTACCACTGAAACTCGATCAATACTGGGTCCAACCATTAGTATGGCTAAAAGTTTACAGTGATCGATATTTGCATGAAAGGATGCAACTATAATCCATTGCTCCTTGGTTTTAAAATGACACTCTAAATGTGATCAGTCTGTGACGAAAACTGCAAACAAATTGAAGCAACCTACACAATCACCTCCAACTAAAATACATCATAATTCAATATTTCCAGAGAAATTAGCAATAAAGTCATGAGAGAAAAGACTTTTGACTTCTCTTTTTTCCTTGTGATACTCTATGGCAATTGTTAAAAATATTTATCAAAGTATTTATAAATCTGTAATAACGCTCACAATCCTTCTGTATGTCTAATTATACTTACACAACTACATGGGATAAATTATGTAAAAGTTCACAAAATTCCAATTTGAATCGTGTATTTTTAAGTAGTATGTAGATATATGAGTATATATTAGCTCCATAGAATAGTAATTTTTCGGGTTTTTATTTTGCTGTCAGGTGTAAGAAAACTTTTTGGTAAAAACAAGCAAATTATGTTCATTATCTTGTCCTAGTTGAGAGATTTAATATATTCCTTCACATTATATCATTACATAATATCGGTGTATATCTATAGAGACTCATTCGCTTATTTTTGAGAGTTTAAAAGATTTGACTTTTATAGTTAATAGTACTATGTGTAAACTTCAATGAAACGTACACGGAATGTGAAAATGTGCCTAAGAAAGCATCTCTTTTCAATTCGCTAGACGTTCCATTCAGTTGAATTTGAAATAGATATTTTGTTCTTTTTTAAAAAACTAGTAACATATTTCTTGGTTACTTAAAATGACGAAAACTGAGAAAGATTCAAATGTCCGGCCTGTTTGCTACATTTAGAATGCAAGTAATAACTTACAAGCACATACTGTAAAAAAATTTCATACTATAACTAAACAAATACACAAGTCCGTAAATTTTGTATAGTTTCCATAGCCATAGATTATCAAAAACTTGATCATATGCAAATCTTAAGTTTAATACTTCATGAATAGTTATTACATTAATACTAAACATTGAAACAGTAAATTAATGTAACATAATTTCATTTATACGCGTATATATTTGTATATAGTGTATATCCCAAACTGACCTTAAAGAGATGACCATTGAAAATTAGAGGACACTAGACAACTGTTTCGCCCCATTATGATACTCGCTACTAATGCACATCCATGATCCACGGCAGAGAGTTAAACCAAGAACTCCTGGTCTCGCGCGGGATCTCTTAATCAGCTATCCTTTTTTTTCAATGGTGACCTATCTAAGATCAGTTCACAATTTAAAGTATGAAAATTCTAAAATCTTCATAAACATCCTGCACTAATATATATAAGCGGAATAGAAGATACTCACTTATGTTTTGAGCCATTTCATCCATTGCTAAACTTAAGGGATACCATGCAGCGGCCGCGGCCACAGCTGCTGCCGTACTAGTACTATATGGATTCATTGGTGTAGATGAGTTCGCATTGACTGTGGTTGACGCCGATGATGTAAATGTTACTGACGATAATGGCAATGTAGATACTGTTGAAGAGGATAATGAAGGTGATGCTGTTAACGATGTCGTAGTCAAAGATGATATAGTATTTCTTTCCGAATTATTATTATTACTGATAGAGTTTAACAAACTTGGTATATTACTGATGAATTGATTAAATGGTAATAAACTCAAATTATTGTCAATATTATTCGTTGATGCAACAGGATGACATGAATCTTCATCAATAATACTATTATTATTTGTAATATTACTATTATATAATGACTGAAAATTATTTAACAGTCTTTGATGTTGTTCCTGTCTCTGTTGCTGCAATTCAATTGAATTGTGAACACTACTAGTATTGAATGAAGTCCATGTTAAAGGACTAGCACGTTGCATAATTTTGACCAGCACTACCACAAGTACCGGTCAGTTAAAAATGATGTTCATACACATATACTACACCATATATAAAAACACTCTTCACAAAGAATAATCGAGTAATAATCACTAATCAAATCAATTAAATATTAATCCACAATTATAGTTCTTGTTCGTTTCGTTGGGATAATTAACGGTTGATCGAGAGAGAAAAAGTCACAAAATCAATTTTGATTTTCTGTTTACCCAAAACGAATAAATATTATTTCTTCTTATGTTGAATTTGATAAATATTTATATTTTTCTGCCTCAAAATTATGTAACTGCTTTCTTCTTTGGCCTCTTTCTATTTATTTTTTTCTCTCGTAGATTCTTCTTCGTTCCCACTGTTCACGTCTTTCTGAATTATAATAGTGTCAATGAAATGTTAATTATGAAGTATAAAATGTTTTTTCTCAAATAAAATATGGTTATTATATTAAATATTGAATGATAGCAAAGTGGATTTTGAAGATAGACATTCTGTAAATGGATGATTGAATAATTGTCTGTATGTGTATATTTGCAATGTATCCCCATTCATGAATGATTGTGTACGTATGTATTGGTATTTGAATGTATTAATATATAATGATAATTATATTATTACATCGCCTGTAGTCGTTGTCGTACTACTAATAGTAGTAGAGGTAGTTATAACAGTATCGATAATAATAATAATAATAATAATAATAATAATAATTTAATTTGACGATTCATTCATATATGCACTGTCTATGTGGTCATATACACATTAATGCACATACATTGTTATTAAATAGATAAACCACATACACAATTATATTATTCAGCCACAGAGGAAACTAGTAATTTCAAAAAGCATGAGATAATTTTCAATACAATTATTCATTAACTTTAATACAAGAGTGAAAATAAGAGAAAAGAATACGTTGTGTTTATTTGTTAATGGTGTTTTGTCTACAATCTTTTCAATATATTAATATAAATAAAAATAATAATGATAAAAATGACAAGAGAAGTAATAACATGTATGTATGTATGTATGTAAGTATGTATGTATGTATCTATGTAAGTATACATATAATTTTCCTTTGTATGTGTATCTGTTACTATGTATGTAGAATGAATTGTAAAAACATCCAATTGACAAATTAATGATGAATTGATCTAACCAATTAAATGATTAGAATAAAGGAGAGAAAAAAGAAGAAAACTTAATAGACAAGGTGATAAATAACAAGAATAATAATAATGATAGTAGATTTCTTCATTACATTTCTTTGTTCCATCATTCAATTTATATACATCAAGGAATTTATCGAAATTTATTTGATAGTATTAAGGGTTCATGTAGAAGTTCATAGGTGTATGTATATGTGTACAGTTGAACTATGAATGATAATTTTTTTTAAAAAAAAAAAGAAAAGAAAGATATAAATTGACCTACCACAAATCGAATAAAAATGTTATGCCTGTCTTTAATTAATCTGTCTATATTTCACTCTTTAACTTCTACAAGGTCATCTATTTAAATTTTAAAAAGTAAATAAATAAATTTGATGGAATGTCAAATGATAGGTTACTCTATAAAGTTATCTATTAATTAACCAACCAAAATTATTCGTTTGGTTTAATTATATTGTTATCTATTCAACCAACCATATACACACACATACATACACACACATACACACATACACACATACATACATACACATGTACAAAAGGCATATAAACATACAAAATAATTTTTTTTTAAAAAAACTATTATTCATTGAACAATAAACAAATTTGGAAAGCAAAACAAAATAATTGGGGAATAAATTATCATCTATACATAAATAATTTATTTGATCTTTATCGTTGTATTGATGTTTATGTTTTATTTGTTTATCCCTTCTTCTCTATTTTTTTTTGTGTAAAAAAATAAAGAACTAGTATATGTTGATTGATTGTTTTACGAAGATAAAGCCGGATTTGACCTTTTAACCTTGAAATAAATTGAAACTAATTCTTCAGGAAAAAGCAAAAATAAACAACTGTATGATGTATATACAAATAAGTGATTCATTGATCAAAATCAATGGGTGTGTAATTCATTAAGTAACAATAATAATAATAATAATAATAATAATAATAATAATGAAACGTACATCTATAATTCATAAAAAGGGTTTACATTGTTTACAAGGAACAAATAAATGGCTATTATCATAATCATTATGTTTGGATTGATTTTAGAATAATTAATTAACCTGATGTGTTGTTGATACAATTAATTTGTTGGTTGTGTAAAATGATTATCATAACTGAATGTGTATATGTGTGGGTATAGACACAGAGAGAGGGAGAAAGGATAAAGTTCAAATTCATAGGAACTTTATGATAATTGAACTGTGGAGTATTCTCATAGTAAATAGAATTATTAAAATGTCATACAATTAAAGCATGAATAAAATGCCTTCTCCAATCCTGATGTATTTTTATAAACCGAAATAAAACATCAACTTGGTTTAAAATACAAATATCTGCTAGTTATATCTGATTGAATTTGTTGATATTTTTTAACCGAAATAGTTGAAGTTGTGTTAATCTGTGACAGTTTATGTCAATTTATTCAAAATTATTTGCTTGCTGAATAAACGTGCGTTATGCGTTGACGTTTGAATTAATAGGAATTCGGTTCGAATACTAGTGTAAACATCAATAATAAGATGTATGTATATTCATTGGACTAATCCCATATAGGATGAAAAGTGTCACCTCCATTCCATTGCTATATGTAATTGTAAATTTACTAAGAAACCTGGAACCGAATGGTTGTTTCTGAGGTATCTGTTTAGAATGCGTAAATACTCATAGGGACTGACCAATTTTAACAAGGCGAAAATATAAAACCATACAAATGATATTACATTTGAGTTTATTTTTAAATAGCTGCACTTATGAGGATGCAATTCCTGAAAACTAATCAAATACATACATAAAAATAAATCTTTAAAAAGATCTTAAATTACCATTATCTTTAAAGATGTCAGAATGATGGATATGTGATGTATCGTAGTTTGACACCTCATATAAATACGAATTCACATTAATTAATCAAGTAATGCGATCTACATCTTTTTAGACGATTAAATTGTTATCCATTTTTCATCAATTTACCACATAGTGAAATTTGACTAGAGATATCCACAACTATTTGTTATCAGCCCGCCTAATGTAACGCAACCTAATATATCGGATGAAAAATACAAATATACTAATCGTTAGAACTTGAGATTAAGTGTGCTATGCAAATTGAACTCTGATATTTAGCAATCGTTCGCTAAATGACTGAAAGAAGTGGGTACAACAGACTTAAAGAATTGCTTTTGTGAAGACTACAAGTACACCTTGCTGACGAGTGCCAAGTAGCACGAAACCTAGGTCTAGGGTTTCCTATTGACTACTTCCAACCACCATCTTATCTCAACATAGTACACGGAATATCGAGTCACCTAGACTAATGGCCACATTGCAACTTGGTCGATAGTATTCGATCTGCACTAAGTAGGACCTGACACATATGACGTTGCTCATCCACCACCCAGTGATCAATCAATTGTGAATAATTTATTCTGTCTATTTGTGTAACTTTCAGTTTACCTAGTCTATTTTAATCAGTAGACACTTATTTAATTGAATCTTTATGGATTTTTCTCTACAATAATTGATCGTTGAGTAGTAACCGATGTTATATCTATATTGATTAATAATGTTAATTGAATTATATAAGTAGAATAGGGGTCTCTGGAGATTGTATTGATTTTAATAGTTGAATTCATTAGCCGATGCGCACTGCTTAAGAGTCCCATGCTAGGACGAAACTGCCATCCAGTGATTCCGAATTTTCCATGGTGATCTAGCTTACACTAATTCATAAATAATATAAGTCAAGTTGCAATTTAGTAGTTATCCTATGTATTTCAATATCATATAGAATAAATTAAAATGTTTCATATTATTTAACATTCGTAACCGATAAATTTAATGCCGCTCGTACTCTTTGAAAGGTTAAAATCCAGAGAGTGATTTGTCTATGATCTACAACCATATTACCATTAAATATATATTTTTATAGTCTTATAGAAATACTAAACAAAAAAATGAATAGCTTGTATTAATTTCATTTAGTTGTCATCCTCGTTAATAATGTGTTTATCTCCACTGATTTCCCATATGAAAAATCGGCTTTTCTATGATAGTTTAATTATCTTTTTCGTTTTTTTTTTGATAATATGCATTTCGAAATCACGATCTTCATATGAAATTTATTTTAATTCTATATACTGTTCCCAATCAATAAAGATAAATGTTTTAATACAAATAGTTTGGGGTAATTAGAAAGAAAATTACCATTTTATACGGATAAGTTTATTTCAATATAGATTAATTTAGAAGTTAAGCGTTTACTGCCAGTTTTTTTAAAAAAATCTTAGATTTTATCACCTGGTTAAGGTTATAAATATTTGTATTTCATACAATTAGTTTCCTTTATGAATTTAAATAGAGCCAGAACAAACACTGATGTAGAATAATATGAATTCAGTATATTTCGTGGTTTCCCACCAGCTCCTTATGGAACAATTGACATAAGTGAATGTACAGAATTGGATTGACAAAGGTTGTCAATAATAACTATATATATATGCAAGAACAGATCAGAGATTATTTAGTGGTAGAATCAAGGAAACATTAAGGATGGGTGATGTAACAGTTGAGTGGAGTATTTATAGAAATTCTATATAATGTGACAAAATCATTGTTCATAGCTGGATGATTCTCAATAACATTTCAAATAATGCCAATTAATGATCATGTAAACATCAAATTAACCTTTTTAACCAAATTACAATTCCAAGTGAACTTTCAAAAAAATTGTTTTAAACTCTGACCATCAAAATACTACAGAGTAATACAGGGAGTAATTGTTCTATTCTCATTCGAAAAGAAATTTAATACTGTATTGAATTCAATAAATATTCCTATGATTTATTCAATATATTTGATCCTAGTTTTTATAGCATGATTTTGTGTATTCATTGAACAGTTCATTGATCTGTGGATAGTTTATAAATGATGTAAACTATTTTTGACTTATCTATTTTATAATCTCATTTTATGTATGTTAGAACATTGAATTAACTTACTGTTTGTCTGTCATGTAAATTGTATGTGTACACTATTTCTGTCGGTTTTAAATTTAGTATTATTACTTAGCTTTATCTGAAATAAATATTGTATTTGAACTTTGCGATATCACACTGTCAATAGTAGTCAGTATAACAATATATATATTTGGGATCTCGTACAGTCGGAGTTAAACGAGATTTCAGTTGAATTTTTACTAAATAAAGCTCGTTCATTAAATATACATGTTTTATCCATTCTCTAACCAAGAAAGTTTCAACAAACTCATTCACATACATCTTAAATGTAAATCATCAAAAATTGTTTGGAATGATTACTTCCTTTTCTTGGCTTTCTTTGGCTTTTAAACCAAGTTTATATATAATTGATAATGAACACTTTAAAGAGG